TGGACGTGGTATATTTTACTTGAACACAGAAATCTTCTGTGGTTAGAATCCTATTTTCTTTTCTCTTCAGCATAACTGATAAATGACAGCTGAACTTTTACCTGATAAGGAGGATAATTTATATTAAAAATCACAGGAAAGAGAGCAGGCTCATTTCAGAGATAAATAAGCATGAATGTATTATATATACTTGATACTTTAAGAAATGTTTGAAATAATGCTATTAATTATAATTTAACTTCCCAAAAGATAGAATAAAGTTGTAAGACAATAGAAAGGAGCCCTGACTGGTGTGGTTCAGTGGGCTGGGCATTGGTCCACACACTGAAAGGCTGCAGTTTGATTCCCGGTGAGGGTACATGCATGGGTTGCAGGCCAGGTCCCAGTTGGGGGTGGGCAAAAGGCAACCAATCAGCTTCTCTTGTACATCACTGTTTCTCTCCCTCTCTTTCTTCCTCCCTTCCCCTCTCTCTAAAAATAAACAAATAAAACATTTTTTAAAAAGAAAGATATTGAAGTATAATATAATCTAGACCCTACAGACAATATCCTCACCTCACATTGATAAAATTCAGTTTACAGGGTCATTGTCCATAGACCTTGCATATGTTGCTGTAAGTCATTTCAAGCCATTTGCTACTCATGTGGAAAGATGTGGCATAGTACATGATTTTTTAGTGGAAATGTTCAGGTATAATACTAAAGAAATTAATTTTTCACAATGCACAATGTGCACAAGTAACATTTATAAGGAGCATTTCTAAAATGCTACCTACCCTGCCTAGGTAGCTCAGTTGGTGAGAACATCATCTGATACACCAAGGTCCCCAATCAGGGCACATATGGGAATCAACCAATGATTATATAAATAAGTGGAACAACAAATTGGTGTTTCTCTCTCTCTTCCCCCTCACTCTCTCTCTTTCCCTAAAATAAGTAAATAAAAGATAAAAACATAAAATATTGGCTTCTCATGTATTCATGTGCATTTTTTGTGAGGTCTTGGATTTTCAATAAATCAGAAAAGGTCTGGATTCCTTCAAACTAATACTATTCTGTGATATTATTGTAAAAATATTTTTCTTCTTATTCTTATAAAATATGATTACTCATGGCTATAAAGGGATTCAGCCAACTATGTATACCTTTTAGGATGTTTTTAAGCATAGAAATATGCTATGATGGAATAGCAAGGGCAAGGAGTGCCTGAACAATGAAAAGGAAAAGCTGATGGAAATATTACCATACTGAAAAGTTGCCAAGCAACTGATCTCATCAAGTTCAAATCTTTGCCTTTGAAAACTGAGCAGATGAAACCAAATAGTTAAAGTGATTTAATGCTATCATTTCCCCCCTTTTTATTGTCACATTAAAGTTTCTTTTTTATTGAACTGTTTATTTGTTCCATCTTATTCTTCAAAGAATTAAAAATGGCTGATATTATTATTATTTACATGTGAAGATCTTTAAGTTTATTTTTTTCCAGCTTTACTGAGTATAACTGAGAAATAAAATGTATATATTTAAGGTATACTATGTGATGATTCGATATGTGTATCTCTTGTGAAATGATTACCACAATTAAGCTATTAAACATATCCATCACCTCATATAGTTACCCTCTTTTTTGTGGTGAAAAAAGTTAAGATCTATTCTCTTAGCAACATTAAATTTTCTGTGTAACAATAACAACAGCAAAAATAAATACATAGCACATACTGGGCACTTTCTAGGCAATTTATACTGTGCTATCTTTAAATTCTCACAAAATGTCTATGAGGCAGATATTAGCATCTTCACTTAACAAATGAGAGAATTGAGCCCTAGAGGAACATCTCTGAGCCACACTGGAGTAATTAGAAGGCAGATGTGACAGCCAATGCTAGGAACCACTAATCTAGGTTGCTTCCCTACTGTATTTGTGTTTCCAGAAATTATTCCTCTCTACCTTTTTAGGAAAGTAAAACCGATTTTATGCTCTCTGATTTAAAAAAGAAATAACACATTGATGCTAATTTTACTCCTCAATTTAGCCATCTTTTCCTAAGGTCTGTCAGGGCCACATCTCTGTAGATGCATATTTATTATAATGCCAGTAAATACCAAACAACACACATAAAAACATATAAAATTAGGCTTAGTTCTTTTTGCTTGAAGTCAAATGTTTGAATTTGGAAAGAGTAATACAATCTTTGGAAATTGTTTTCCTATAATTTAGTAAATTATTTTCATCACATTTAGTTAGCTAGTACCACTGGTAGAAGCAACAAATATCCATGGGTACTTAATTCCAGCTCCACCACTTACTAGTTGGATAGTTATTTAACCCATCTGTAAAATAAGGATTCCATCAGTTTCCACCTCATAGGGTTGTTGTAAAGATTGAATAGGTTCATGACTTTTTAAAGCTTACAATAGTTCCTGGTGTATAGAAAAGCTCAACAGGTATTTACTTACTTTCTAGAAGGGCCATCTACTGCCTATCGATATTGTACTTATCTAATAGCACAGGACGAATAACTGTTCTTCTTTTAATTCACTCTTAGCAATAACTAGTGGGTCCATGACATAAAATGAGAACCTTGGTTACCTAAGGTTTAAAACATACAGGGTGGGGCAAAAGTAGGTTTATAGTTATGAGTATGTAAAACACAGCATTTATTCTTGCATTATTTATTATTGTATTTTCCATAAAACAGCTATAAATCTACTTTTGTTCAACCCTGCATTTTACATTTAAAATACATTTTAAATCTCATAATTAGGATAGCTTCAAGTATTTTTCTTTACATTTTTTTGTCACTTTGTCTAATAACAGAGCTTCCCTAAATATTTTTATCTTACATAGCTTACTTTAAAATGTGAGCACAATGAAAGAATATAATAAGTACATCCATATTGAACCAAAAGCACATATTAGGTACTATATCATGTTTCTATTTTGCTTCTCAAAATCTTATATACACTCTTATAATCTTAACTTTAAACCTCTTTGAGAAATATGGGAAGTTAATACTAGTGAGAAGAATGATGAGTAAGTTTACATCCTTCATGATAAGAGTATTTATGACTAAGAACTAAGTTGAACATTGTAAGACTAAAGGACTTATATATTGCATTTTCAGGTATCATGCAAGTGCTAACAAGTTAAATTATTGTCATTTCCAGAAAATATCAATTGTGAATTTTTTTTTACTTGAGTTTAATGTAGCAAATACATTAAACTGCTAGTTACCTGAAATGACCTTCAGGTTGTATCAGGAAATCTCTACTGAAGTATCTATAAATATTTCCATTGAAGGTTAAGATTATATTTCAGGTTCAAAAGTTTAAAAAAACTTTCAGGATCAAAAGTAAAAGAACTATTTATTTTACTTCCTTGTCCATCTTTCAAGCATAGATACATTTATTTTCTCATAAGTTGTTTAGAAAATGTATGAAATATTTGTAGGATATCTATATTTTCTAAAATTTAATAGTATTCTATTGTATTGGGAGAAATATGATTTGTTTAAACTGTAGTCTAAAGGGAGTAACATATTTTTTATAATGCTACCAGTAATCTATCTGGTGACTACAATTTCCTCTTAAATTACACATTCTTATCTTCTTAACATAAGTAGAAAATAGCCAGAAAATTTTGTGACATAAAAGAGAAGAGTTGATATATATTAGTGACTGTGTAATAACAGATATTCAATAAGTACTTGTAGAATGAATGAATGAATACAAATAAATAATCTTATGTGATAGGGCAGGGGTGGGGATAATAAAGATGGCAGGCTTCTACACAGCAAAGGTTTAAAATATAGTGGGGGAAAAAGCAGAGCTGCACATACATTCAGATTATGACAGTTCAAAATTAATGCTACTAGAGCGGTATACTTGAGAAGCTTTGCTATAAAATACCATTGGGTATTCTTATGATAGAGAAGCACATGCAGAGAGTAACACAAAAGAAGATAAGCATGGTTCCTATTCTTCAGAATCATTTTGAGCAAATCTTTTCATACATGATTATTACTGAAGAGCTGTAAGGAAATAGGGCTTGTGTATTAAAGTAAGTGATTACCAATCTTTTGGGAAGAAGGGGGAAGGCATTTGGCCATGGTGGACAAGTAAGTGGAACAGGTGGCAAAAAAAAGTTACAAATAACTTTCCTTCCGCTCAGCTCCCACCAATAGAATCTGGACTAACTAGCAAGGATCATGTCCTCCCCCAAGTATAAGTTCTTCACTAAAAATGATTAGTTTGAAAACTGGAAAGGGAGTAGCACAGACTTCCAATTAAATCTATTCATTCTTGCAATAGGACAAGAGACTTTATTTACTACTTTAACTTTAGGCAACTTTCTCTGCCCATATTTCAGATGCATTATAACAATGTTAAGTGTTTGTGTGTGACTGGGTTATTTTCTTGATCATGCATGCAAAAATAAGACTCAGAGCTAAAAACCACCTTAGGGACATGGTCACTCCAGGTCTACCTTTACTTTAAATACATTATGTCCTTCCTGTTTAAAATCCACTTCCAGTCAAGTTTTGCAGCTTGTTAAAAATACAAATATCTAGATGAGATTTCCCCCAGAAAAGCCTATCTAAAGATTTTTTTTTTATCTCAGAGAAATAGGGAGAAAATTTTATTTTAAAGAAGCCATGTTACCAGCAGGTTTTCATTTTTTAAAAAAGGAAAACAAAACCTTGAATTATTCCAATTTGTCAACATTTGACATACAAAAATTATATGTGATGCAGAAAGGATTCCATACATCATTAATGAGCTAAAATGCTACCTATTATATTTGCTTACCTTTGGAAAATTTAGAATAATTTTTAATTGTATGCCTCACATTGTTGAGATTTCACTTAGAAGCACATGACAGACACAGATCAATTATAAAATGCAAAGCTATCAAGTAATTTTTATAACTCAAAAGCCTATGAAAAGAAATTGAGAGTCCCTCCAGACATATGTTCTTAGGTCACCTGAAGAACTCTTACCATAAGTTGGGGTGCTTTCTCGTCTTCCTTGACTACTTGATCTTCCTTTTTCATATTCATAGCAATACAAGACAGTATCTTCCTCGACAATATTAAACCTCTTTCGATATTCCTGATCCAGAAATGAATTTGGTGATTCAGATCCCTTATGAACTGGCTTGCCCACCATATGTCCTCTGAGGTCTTCACAAGGAAGGTTTCCTTTCTCATCCCTAAAGAAAGGATGAAGAAAGATGTAGGAAAGTGTTAGGGTGGTAAAATGGCTGAGAGGGTCTAAAATAGTAATAATATCCTTCCCATACTCTATTTTTCCAAATTTTGAGGTTAATAGAGCAATTTGTAACTATTCCTATCTTGTAGGAAAAGAGATGCAGAGGCTCAGAGAAGTTAAATGAATTGCCTAAAGGTCACACAGCTAAGAAGTGACACAGCTAAACATGGGTCATGGATCTTTTAAGTCCTGCTCTAGTCCATTTTCACTGCACTATGTCATATAAAGGAAATCACCTTACCACATAAATTGCTTTTGGTATTCAATACAGTAAGTAAATATTAACAATCTAACTTTCTTTTGTCAGTTTACCTAATTGAATTCATGGTAATATTTGCACTGCTTAAAAACAAATGTGTTTAAGAACTAACAACTCTGTAAGAATACTGTGGTCTTAACCAAATTAATTCTAAATAAACTGATATTGTAAGAATGACAAACAGCTTGTTATTAATTTAAAATAAACCTTAATGAGGAGAATTACTCTGAGTATTTAAACTCCATGTATCTCTTTTAATAGTAAAAATATATATTCACAGAATTTGTTCCAAATGGATGTATGAAAATTTCATTAAATATCAGTAACATTTCTATAGGAGAGAGTGGAGAAAGCTGATAAAATATGGAGTTTAAGGAGGGTATTTAATATGATGGCAGGTTATTAACCAATGTCACCCCAATAAGTTTAATTAAGAAGTTAGGTATAAAGCAGTGTTTGTGCTATGCTCTTTTTATTTATTACTTTATTAATTAATTTATGTATTTTTAGAGAGGGAGAAAGGGAGGGAGAAAGAAGGGGAGAGAAACACTGATGCATGCATGAGATATACATCAATTGGTTGTCTCACACACCCCAATCTGGGACCTGGTCCGAAATTCAGGCATGTGCCCTGATTGGGAATCGAACCTGTGACCTTCCAGTTTGCAGGCAGGCACTCAATCCACTAAGCCACACCAGCCAGGGCTAAAGATTTTTTTCTCTTTTCTTTTTGTAAGAAAGTTTAAGGTGAATACTAATGTGAATATACAGTTTTGCTTATGTTTTCAAGAGGAAAAAATGGAAGGATAAAGTAATACCAATAAAAACTGATTTCTGTGGGGAAAGAAAGGGGAAAAGTGGATAGGGCACGGATTAAAACACTTGCTTTAACACAGTTTTGAATTGGAGTCATGTAAATGTTTTACATAATTGACATTCAATCAAAAAGAAAAATAAGATCACGGCAATTTGATTTTTTTGTTCTATAGAATTCTAAAAAGAAAATTCTCTAATAATTTATGGGATCCCTAAAACTTACTCACACATAGTATTACTCACACAGCCCAGCTGATTTGGCCCATAATAAGTGGTATTTTGGTAGAAATATTTCATTTAGGATTTGTAATATTGAACCTTGTTTATATTATATGTTTCACTGACAAGCTATGAAATTTTTGTTAGAAAAGCTTGTCTTTTAGAATAGGACTATGAATATAAATGAAATGTTTCTTTCCTGTGGATCATTAATTTTATATCTTCTCAATTCTTAATCATTTCCAGTTTTACACTAAAGAGGCCATGAATGCTATGAAAGCAGATACAATTTAAATTTATGTCAAGTGCCAAGACTTGAAATCTTAAATAAATGGAATACATTCAATTATAATAATAAAGATAAAATAACAGATTTTTAATTGACATCTTGCACCTTATAAGATGGTGATGAACTTATAATTGAGTGTCATTTACAAAATATGAGTTTCAGTTCAGCAAATTATTATACTTCTATGCTAGTGTATACTATACTTCTATATCTGTATGCAAATATCTAGATCAGGTTTGCCCCAAAGAAGGAAACTATATTCCTAGTATTTGAAATATGTAGAAAATAGTAAATCATATTCTCAAGACTTACTGAATTGGTTAAGTTTTCTTACATATTTAACACATCACAAGGTGAAGTGGCCATTTACATTACCATTCACTCTTTTATTTTTTAAAATAAAGTATTGCTTATTACCAAATGGTAACTTATATAGCTTAGTTCTTAGGCAACATAAAGGAAATAAAGATAAAACCCAGGCAGAATTTTATTTTCAGGTAGGTTAAATTTTTTTCTGCACAAATTGCCTGGTATTTTTATTATTGTTAGTCCCCAATCAAAAGAAATTGACACTGCAATTAGCTTAGAAATAGCCAGAACAAACTCATGGTGCTGGAAGGTTATACCTATCTATAAATGGTCAGACTTCTCTATCAGGCCTGTGACATAACTGTTAATGCAGCTTGAGATCAGAGGGTGATTCAACCCTAGTTAATTCATCACTTTCTATTTATATGGGTACTCCCTGTGGCAAAAATATTGGAAGGGCTGGTATTACTCTATAATGACATGAAAGAGGGGCCTTATACCAACAAGGAAGATTTATTAAACATGTCTATATGTAATTCACTTAAATAAAGTTGAATTAAGAAAAGTACAAGCCAAAAACAGACTGCAGAAAAATGAATTGATACATGTATTGCATATATAAATGTGTGTGCTTATATGTATATTCATATCATGAGCCTCTGAATAACTCAATGTACTAATTTGTTTTGCTGAAAAGATTAAAACACTTTTTCTTAATGTTATCTGTCTGTACATGTATATAATCTGTATTTTTTGCTCTAAAATGATTTAATAAAACTGAAAAGTTAAAGCACTGCTTTAGTGGACTTTAATGGCTCATTGTAAAATTCATTAAGAGAAATTAGTGCTTAAACTTCACAATTCTGCAAAGACCTATAAATTCTTGATTTTCATTTTAGAAAAAGAAATCTGGTTAAGTATTAAAATGCACTATAGAGTATAATAATGGAACTTTATATAGTCATAAGACATATACTAAAAATCGACAGAATTTCACTCAATGTACATGAGTATTTCTCTTTTAGAGGTAAAGCCACTTTTGCACCCGCAATTTTTTCTGGGATAATTGTGTTCAAATAATCACAAGAAAAAATTCTACCTAATTTGACAACTAGGCCTACCTTTTTAAGTTTTTTTTTGTTTTAAGATGAGAAAGTTTTTATTATTTATTATTCAAATCAACACTAAAATGCCTATCCTATGCAAAAAAAATTTAGTATAGAAAAAATGTTCTGATGAATTAAATTAGGTGAACCACAATCATGATCAAAATGAGAATATGAAAAAAACCTTCCAAGTTTTGTAGCTATTAAAAGAATGACAAGTGCAAAAATTTTTGTGACTTCAGAAGTTTTTTATGACTTTAAGTCAAACCAGAAATTGCAGATAATTGATACAAGGTGGTGCTACAAAGGTACTTTAATGCATGGATTGTTCTTACTATGCTATATAAAATGATTGTGTGACTGGATAACTAATAATTTGCCTCAAACTATATTTAGAATGTTCTGTTAAATTACACACTAGACTACAAATCAATTAAAATGAGATAATACTCTCTAATTATGAATTTTACTGAAAAGCATGGAGCTTTCAAAAAATATTGACAAAATAAGTACCACTATGGAGATACTTCAATCTCTTACATTCTCTAGTTTTTTAAATAGTATGTTCAACTTTTTTATTGATTTCAATATACTTCCTTAATCATATTTACACCACACCCAGAAGAGAGGATTGGATCATTTTCCTCTTTTGTCTTCTTAGGTGTATTTTAAATACTTCCTGTCTAGGAAACATGTTCTTTTAAACAAGTTCCTCCCTAGCCAAGAAAAAAAGAAAGAACCTTTAAATACTGCAGAGATTTGATTAAAAAATAATCTTGTGATGTTTATTTGTATATGTAGCCATTTGAATATGGCTTCTTAGTCATTTTCAGTAAAATAAAAATCTTTCCTATTTGAAACACACATGCTTTTATTGTTTCTCATGCAAGAGCAATTTAGAAAGTCTGACACTATTTTAATAAAATTAAAATGCACCTTGTGTTTGACTAGGATATTGGATAGACTTTTAAATCTGATTGTAAATTTAACATTGAGATTGTAAATTATATATTAGAAATATGGGTGAAATGCCAGCATAGTAAATATCTTATCATAAACTGCTTCCCCACAGCTACATTTAATTCTCAAGAATATGAAGTAAAATGTTTATAAAACTGACAATAGTTTTATTACTAAATGCCAACACAGTATTTACAGATATGCCATGTTGTCATGTAGCATTTAGATCGTAAAATGTCAGTACCATCATAACTAATAGAATGAAACATTAGGTATACTAAAGAATAATAAAAATTAATAAAAACAATGCATTTTAGTTCTTTTATATAACAAAGAAATTTAATATTAACTATGGCCTGAAAACAAGACACCCTTATTATTGTTTTTGAATGACTGCACAACTAACTTAAAAAGTGAATCAAATTCTTTGTGGTTGGTATTAATTATCCCCACTTAGTACTAGTCCTTTTCCATAATTTTTGTATTCCAGAAGGCTGGATATCAGTATGTTTTTAGACAGAATGCATTATAGCACCAAGTTCTACTCTTCCACATTTGCCAGGAATTTCAAGTAGGAATTTAGAAATGACATGGGGATACTGTCTCAAAAAATCTAGGACATAGACTTTAAAGGCAAGTAATTTTCTTGCAAACTCTCTCTACTTTCTTACAGAAACATTAACGAACTAAATCAAGTGGAAATTGAAGATAGAGTAGTATCAAGGGGGAAAACACTCATTATTATCCAAAAACCCCCTTCCTTACTAGATACATTTAAAAAAATTATAATAGTTGTATGTAACTTTCTCTTTTTGAAAAAAAAATGTATGAGAATCTTCAGAGCAACCTTAGATTTCCAGGGGCTTCTTCGTCAAATAGCCTCACTTAATTTTTATTTATTAAAATAATCCTAATTGTTACTTGATAGTATTTCCTATTCTTTCCTAATGTAGAGATGTTTATATTTATTTTTAAAAGGCTTTACTTATTCATTTTTAGGGAGAGGGGAAGGGATGGAGAAAGAGAGGAACAGAAACAGCAATATGTGGTTACCTCTCACATGCCTCCAACTGGGCATCTGGCCCACAACCCAGGCATGTGCTCTGACTGGGAATCGAACTGGTGACCCTTTGGTTCACAGGCCAGCACTCAATCCACTGAGATACACCAGCCAGGGCTTTATAAGATATTTAATCATAGTATTTAATACATATTAATTAGTTATTAAACAAAGTGCATTTTCTATAATGCAATGGTTTTCCAGAATGTGTTCAGAATTTCTAAATGAGAAACTATATCCCTTGAGAATTTGCTTCACAGTTTACATGCAATTTGGTTAGTGTTTGGATAGAAGCTGCCTAGAACAACAAGATGGTTAGTTTTATACCTGGGAATATATGGTTCTGCAGGAGGAGGGGGAATGTAGAGATCCTGGAGGGCAGAACTGTCTCTTTTGGTGGGTGTACTGATGGTGCTGGAAGGCGTGGCAACGCTGCTTGTGGGACTTCTAGGTATAAGAGGCTGGTTAAAATGAAAAAGAAAATACATACACACATACAAACAACACACAAAACAACAACAACAATGACACATAGTTATCATTTTAAAGTGATCTATTTCTGCAAAGTTTTTGAGCTTGGCTGAAATCAAGAAGTATGTTATTTTCCAGATAGATATTCCTTTGAATCTCCAAAACCAGATTAATTTATTACTTTAGAGGTTTCTACTTGGTTCTCAACTCACCTTATACTGTGGTATAATCACATAAAAACTATTTATATAGTACCATGAAGTGTTTCATAATGGGAAGATTTATCTGATTGTCAAAAACTTATTTAAATGAAATTTGCTCTGTTAGAATCCCACCTTTGAAATAAAGATAATAAAGAGTAACTTTCAAAAGAATTAGCTCATTTATATCCTGAGTGATATACAAGAAAGATCAGATTTCCCCCCCCCAAAAGATACACCATACTCTTAAGTTAGCAGAATGTCACAGATTCTCAGAAAAGGTTACAGGAATGGAGCATGAAGGGCCAATAACAAGAGAATATTGTTTAGGAAAAAGCTGCTTTTTCTGTAAGTATAAACATATCTTCTCAAAATCATTTTATGGTACATCTTCAAAAGCATAGTGATTAGTGTGACATAATCATTTTACCTTTCATAGGCACACAAATTTATCATTGTTTAAAATAATCTTTAGTTGTCTATCTATAGATCTCATTTTCAAGCCTGTATTTAAGTATGACAAGTGTTTTTAAAAATTGAGATGGTATATATACTAAATGGAGCAACACATCAGGATGCATTAACTTAAGAGCACTTCCAAATCTGAGCTTCACAGTGTTCAAAATGATCTTGTGGTTCAAGAAATTATCCTAAAGTAAAACTAAACTTCACAAATTTTCATGTTTATTGTACAGGCATTGCTGATTAGCGAAATACAAAATTATATTAAAAATAAGCATTTTAGTGTAATTGCAAACACAAAAATAATGATTACGAAATGATCTGTACCTTCAAATGACAAGATGTTGCAATTTTAGCCAGTATGGAAACAATTTAGCATAACTATATGGACCCACAATTCTATTACTTTAACACATATTGCTGGACACTCAAAAATGGCATATTACAATTATTTTATATTGTGACAATACTTTTGAACAGGTAAACAAAATATGTTAAAAAAACTAAGCATAAATACAATGCACAATGTAGGTCACTATGGTAGGCTACATAGTTTATGACTCAGTGCACAGTTTTCACCTTTCCTGCTATACAGCTCACTTTAATAGCCTGAAATCACACAACCCACCAAAATGACAGATAATGTTTAATCTACATGAAATAGAAATTAAAGAGAGAAATGAAAAATATTCAATAATTTATTTTGGGACTCTATAATATACTATCTCATATGATATAAAAAAGTCAGAACATATATATGTTGACAAATTTTGAAATATGAAAATATGCACTAAAGACTATTATATTTAACTATGCTGATTTTGGAATAGTGTCTGTCCAGTGTATCTTTCTGAAACAAAAATCTTGGCAATGGGAAATCCTGAGATTATATAGATAATAAGGAGTCACCTGTATGAATGAATACCATGAAGCCTGAGGAAATAAAGAATTATATTCTAGGGATGTATTACATGCCTCTACAACAGATCTTTGACGCATTCTTTAGATCAAGTATTTAGATTTACTATGTATGTATAGTCATTGTGATGTGACTCTGTTTATAACTGTTTTCCTCTCTGTCAGGACATCTTGGTATTAAATGTCATCTATAGATGACATTAACCAATAAGTCCAACCAAAATTTCATCATTATAGAAATGTAAAGAAAACATTCATTACATAGTACATTACTTTCCAAAACTTGCCAACAGATGCACTGTAAGAGAAACTCATATTCAGGCTACTTTCTAAATGCTCTAATATCGCTCTTATTCTAATCTCTCTCTCTTATTTTAAAATATCCTAATGCTACCAATGAACTTGAGATAGAAGTTCTAAAAACATAAGCACTAGAAAAAATAATGTAACAAATTTTATTTGCTTTCTTTTAGAGTCATTATTTCTATTTTGAAGACTTCTCTCCTTTTATTTGGTAATCTATAGAACTAAAGACTTTTTGGGGGTTATTACTAACCATCCTCAAACAAACAGGGAGAAAGGTGGAAAAAAGAAGTAGGAGTCAATGGTTACAAGTATATTTAAACACCCCTGGCATGTAAGGTAGGCATCAACAGAGTTTTTAAATCTGCTTGGACTATTACTAGGATTGTGTACACAGGGTACTTACGCATTTCCTCTTTCAAGAAATTTAAATATTAGCCTTGTCAACTTCCTTCAAATTACTATTTTTCCTAGGTTTCTATTTTCAGCAAGGAGTTGCTATTAGTGTCATTGGTTGATATAATTAGCTAAATTAGCAAATATGTAGAAGAAAAAGATTCTTAAATATATTTAAAGAGATAACAGATTTGATTGTGCCCCTCTGTTCAATTAATTGAACTGGTTGAAAAAAACAATTTGCTCTTTCAGAGAAAAAAGAAATTAGTTCATGCTGTTGTTTAATTAAACTGGCTAGTTATTTTATTAACTGGTAAATCATACAAAACATTTCAGCTGGTTTATCATACATACATCATCTGGCCAATCAGTGTGCCCTGTACCAACTAAAATGCTTGGTAAATATTAAATATGTTTAGTATATTTTTGTCTACTAATTGTACTATTTTGTCAAGCTAATCCAAGCTAAAAAGTAAACATTCTTCTTGAGAATCTCATTTAAAAAACAGACATTAAACAATGGAAAAATAAGTATGGTAAAATAGAAGATTCAAGAGAAAATGGAAATAGCTACTTAGCCCAAAAGGAAGTCTTTGTAATAATCTGAAATTATACTCTGTTAAGAATTTTTCTAACTTTGGACAAAAATTGAAAGAGTACAGAATTAAATCACTAAAAGGATGAAAAAGGCATTTAAAAACATTATAAAGATAGGCAAAATTTGACTAAAGCAAGTACAGAATAAATGATACTATTAGATAAAATTAGCAGTAAGAAATTCCTAGTTGTAACAAGTGGCATTAAAATCACATCTACCACCAATAACGATTTAAGTGAGTGAAATAAACCTGGTGACAAATAAAGCGTCCCTCTAACCAAAATGGTGTTTTCTCAGCATTCAATTCAAATTTTAATAGGCATATTCCTTAGTTTCAGAAAAATGTCTAAATATGTAAGTATAATAATGCAGAAGTATAGCTTCTATCTGGGCAAAATTTACTTTCAACATTTGAAACATAGTATAAGAAAAGAAGTTCCCATTGTACCATAAAGAATTTTCAACTTTCCAAAAAAAGGTAAAAATAAAGGTAATTTTTTTATCTTGCCATTTTAATTCTTCCTCTTATATTGGTAAAATCTGTATGGGAAGATAATTAACTATCATCACATATGGACAGAAGTTTATGGATAAAATACAAAGGTTTTTAAAGACTTTATCTGTTACTGGAGTAAGCATGGAGCTTCAGTATAACTTGATCCACTATGGTGCGCAATCAAGTTTGACATGGATCCCATTTTGTGTTCTATACAAAAGGGTTTATTTCCAGGAAGGACCTTGTCAGAACATTTAGTTTTCAGATCTAAATTGTCCTACTGACTTAAAGATCTCCTTCCATATTCAGTGAAGCTCCAACAAGTAAGATGCATTTGTATATATGCTGTTACTCTTCTCAAAGAAGTCTATGAGGTATTTCTGGGGGCATTGGCATGCATCTTTTGAAATATTCAAAACCTAAATAAAATGATCCTATGCATCTCTTCAAATGCTCATTTATAACGTTATGCCAATTAATGGTAACTTACTACTGACAAAAGGACTAAGAAATCTACTAGGTAAAGTGTATACATACATTTTCACATTGTCAGTTTGAACTATATAATATATAAATACTTTCAAATTGTATCTCATAATATGATATGGCACAAATCTTCCTTTGAATCATGAATGATACCTTAGTAATAACATCCTACTCATCCAGATTAAACATCATTGGAAGATTGTGATTATTGTAGGATAAAATTTTCAGCTTTTATAATGTATTTTCCTTGTGTCCCCAGTTCTACATCTCTAAGGTAATTAAGCACATCTGGAAGATATCAATGTACCTCTGAAAGCCATAAGGTCTTAAGCACTATAGCAAAAGAACTTCCATACTAGAGAAACTACATTTGACATTGAAGTTTTACTTGAAACAGTTTACATTTTAAGAACTTTGGCAAGTATATCTTAATTTAGTTGCCCCTCTGTCTTGTGAATGACCCAGCATTCACAGAGCTATAGAAAGTCATGATGAAACCAATGACATAAAGACAGCTCCAACGTTAAAGATTAAGAGTGTATTACATTTTATGTAGTTATTTCTAAAATTCATTTACGTAGTTATTTCTAATGCAAAGATCACAAAGAGCTTGCTTTGCCTTCCAGGGGGAAAATACCCATTGAAATATGAATGATTACATCATATATAACACCTGGCCATTTATTTTACTTACTCTTAGGAATAAGCACAGACTCAAATGCATCACAATACCTCATTATTCTAGCACAAAACATTCACACAAGTCCTTACTCAGTTCAAACACATTTTTATTGTAATTCCCAACAAAAGTACCAGGATATTGTTTTATGTTAGCAACTATCTTCTTAATCATCTAAACAAATGCTTCAGAGAAAATGTATTCTGGATTTTGGGAGGTAAGATGTTGCATACAATCTTGTAAGTGTCTTGACCATATAAGGAGTGTTAGATTTAATTTGGAAAATTATTGGGAATGCTTTTTCCTGGGTAAGTTTTTAAGTAGCAAATCAACTGAAAAGAACCTAAGAGAAACACACATATTCAAAATCCTCTACTCATTTTTATAGACTTTTCTAGGATACAAATTTATATAAACAAAAGAACCCTCTTTTATAAGCATGTAGTCTTCCCTTTTCTATCAGACTACCATGAAAACAACATGTTTTTTTTTCTAACCACAGATTTGATCAGGAAACTGTATCTGGATACGTTAAAAATACAAACATGTGTGTGTAAAAAATGCATATAGGTACACAATATACAACTAATAGAGACTTCAGAGACACATGACAAAATGGCTTTTTCCACTGAATTGTCATATTTTGCACACTGTACTGAGACTACCACTAGTGTGTCTGTCCTTGTGCTCACCGGTCTTACTGGCATAGTTAATACTGCAACATTAAAACTAGACTTCCAGTTATTTTAAATTACAGTTGAGCTCAACTTTTAGGATAGGAAAGAAAGAGTGGGAAACTAAAGATAAACCAAGTAAAAATAACTTTTGTGGCCTGTATCAACATTTTGCAAGCATTTGGCTGAAAACACAAGTGTGACTGAGATCCTTTAATTAATTTCCTTAAACAATGGTGAACAAAAATTTGGTATGACAACTGTTTGCAGCTATTTATTAATTTGAGCATGTAAAACACATAATTATTTTTGCCTATGAGTCAGCACAATTACATATTTAGTTTACATTTATTTTTTTCTAGTGTTCTAATATTAGTTATCAACCTCTTCAAAACATGCTTTTAAAACAAAACTTTCAGAAACATAAACTTTGTTAACCAATGGGTTTTACAGTCACCCCAACCATAACTTTGATGTTAAAATAAATTTTATTACTGCTTATACTTTTTGATTTTTACAGAATAACTTCAACCATTAATGTCTATATTTGAAATACAACAAAATCAATTAGTGTTCTTCAGTTATTATACCAGTTGATAGAACAAATCAATCGCTGTAATTATTTGCTTTCTAATTTCATTTTCTGCTCAAAGTTAAATATCCTGTAAAAATGCTAAGCAATAAAATTTTAAATGAAAACACAAAACCACACAAAAAAACTATCACAAGATATAAGATTTATGGACTAGGATACAGTTTAAGAACATTAGTCTAATGATACAGTTTGATGTTATTTTATATAAAATATATTTAATGAAACCTATATTAGTAAGTTGAATTCCAGCATTAATTTTTGTGGTCATTTCTGAGATGTATTCTCACCAAAAATGTTGAGATTTTAATGTTTTAAAACATTGATTCCCAGTGATGATTTCAATCACCATTATTGTCAGTGTCCAGCTATACATGTTTTTTAAGAAGGAAATGACACGACCCATGGATATTTGTGACCTACATACACTAATTTAAAACCACAAACATCAAAAAATATACCTTGAGTTTTCTCCATAGTTGCCTGAAATATTTTCATTGAATTAGAACTTGCTTTGGTAAGCAATCACCCTCCTTACCAAAATCCAGGACCTTAGTAGAGGGTGCTACTAAGGACATGGTTTTAAAAACACCTTTCAAAAAATGGGAATTCCCGGTTTACTTTCTTAGAGTAAAAGATTCTATCTTAGGTAAAACATTGCTACTATTTGTAAATGGATGCAGATGACAATAGAATTCAATTCCAGATTAAGTATGCTTGTAGTATTTGACTCAGGTATTTTGCAGTTCTATTGTAAAATATTTGAGAAATCAAGAATTTAACAAAAGAACTACCAAATTTCATGAAATGTACTAATGAAATTGCTCTGTGAGCATGAAGCTGAATTGTATGCTTTTGTTTATTTGGGTATAATTCCATGAATGATTTTCCAAAGAAATTCCAAATCAAAATTCATCATTATAGTTGATTAATAAGAGAACTATCTTCTAAATATATTTTTAGAAATAAAGATTCTTTCATTAAAACATGTGATATTCCTTTATCTTCTACCTTAAGGTAGAAAAGGTTATGTTTTATCTATGTAGGTACAAATTATTTCCTTCTTAGTTTAAAAAAATAATTAATCCTTAGGTTAGAATACAGTTGTTTATTTTAAGGTGCATGTACTAGTGTCTACCTCTATGCTACAAGGCTTTGCCATATTTTATCTGAAAATGCTAGTAGGTAAATATAACCTGGTATAGTATAAAAAATGAAATGAATATATTGAATGAGATAAATGCCACAAATTATTTATTTTTGTAACCTCTACTTCAAATAATTCTTACTAGACTACTGGTATACCCTATGAAAAAAGAAATGACCTAACATCTAATTCTTCAGGTTTGAACACTGAATATTTATATTTAGATGAGTTAATGGGCATTTAGCTCTAACATATTTGTACACATACCAGAAGCAAGAATACAATGATACTTGTGTCTGCACAGAGGATTAAGCACTTTTTCCTCATCTGAAGTCATTTCTTAGCTACTAGGAAAACTGTGTGGCCTTAGGCAAACTTGCAAAAGAATACAAGACCACCTGCAAGACTTTCATCCCACTATTTCTTTGAATTTTCCCCCTCTGGAGACAGTCTACATTTGGTCTCCAGATCTTGGCACCCTCAGGTTTTATCCATCTTTGGTTGTATCAAAATCTACATTCTATAAAAATTCTGGCCAGATAGTTTCCATTACATTTCCGGTGTCCTTATGTTTTGGCACAGGCTAAGGCCTTAAGATCAAGAAAGAACTCCAATGACACAATTTCAGGTCTTCAAAATAGATTCCACAGAGATCTGGTGGTGCTGGTATATGTTAGAGGACTTAACCATTGCCCTTACTCCTAAGATCTTGTTTTAACACCACTAGGAAATATTTAGCTGTAATGTCACCTCAAAAAATTCAATAAAATAAAAAAAATGAATACTTCTTTTCCTCTGTAAAGAACAAAGCTCTGAAGTAATTTTCAAAGAAGTTGAAAGCAGCTATCTCCCATGACCCCCAAAAGTATTGTTTATCTATAAGGGGTTGAGCTTAGACAATACATATCAAGTGAACTAAATTTAGTTGAAATAACAATTTTTTAAGAAATATCAATACACATAAGCACTTATATAAATGCTGACTTTCTGCTATCCGATTTAAACATTCTTAAAAAGTAAACCTTCAAATATACTCAGAATAACTGAAGAGGAAATGAGTAATTATAATTAATGATCTGATGAGGCACATTTCTTGGCATTTGGGAATGGACCTAGAAACAGTGCCTTGGAAGTCTATTATAATTTTATTATAAGTAAGAAATGATGTGAGGTCATTTTAAAAATTAAAGTCTTCATTCCCCAGCTTTGAATACACATACCAAATATATGTGTAGCAGAAAAGAAATGTTGGTCTTTCAATAATTTTAGCATTTTATATAAAAGTCATTCTTAACTGGGTACTGTCATTATCCTAATTCTCCAGTGTGAGCTTGTGCAAAAGAATCTAAAAGGGGACCATATTAACAATTTATTTTCTAGAGATACTCCCTCAGCGTTCATGGATCAACAAGAAGCTAGTGTCTTTGTGGTGTTCAATGTGAAATAGAAGAGACTAGAGAGAAAAATTTAAATTTAACTATACATATATTGACAAGAAAACCTAAAAGCTGAAAGTATGGGCCTCTTCTTCAGGATTCCAAACTCTCAAATTTTGAAGAAGGATCTTTAGCGAAGACATACCAATAGAAAACTATAGATTGGAACAGCAAAGCAACTTATAATACAGCAAGAAAATAAAATGATGTGATGGTAAAAGTTGGATCTATTAATCTATGGGTTAATGAGTCAAACATTGAACTCTGAACTTTAATGACCATCAGAAATATTTAATAATAAACATACTGCAAGTCAGATTATTTGGACATATTAATATAGTTTTACATATATTCTTTTGAAAATTAGAAAGTTTCACATTAAAAATGTAAAGACCTTAATGTTAGAACATTTTATAAGTTTTTATGTTATTTATGTATAATGCAAATCTGAAGCCAATAAGTTTTAAATAATTAGAAATCATTATAATTGACAAGACATTTATGTGTAATGGAGAATTTAGGATTTTAGGAAAGAAAATCTAAGAATGGTATAAGGTACTAATATAGAACTTAACAACTTACACAGCAGTGATAACAATGGTATTTTTATATATTACTTTTCTTTTTAATCTGAATGGGCAGTGTTCTATTTCAATTGGCAATTTAAATTTTTAAAAATTAGACTTCTAAGAAAGGTAACAGTCTCCTATTTTAAAAATTCAGTTTTTATGAAGGACAAATTTTTTTCTATAATGTATTTAAAGATTATATCCTGACTGAAATGGGAGAAAATGTATTGCTTCCATGTCTTTCATCAACCAGAATTGTATATTTATAACTTCCTAAATAACTCAGCTTCTTAATGAATATAATTTATCAACCCCAGAGTAATATTTAGAGTGATGTTTCATGGTGGAAAAAGATGCAGAAATTCGAATGCAACAATTTCTACATTTTTTCCACCCTGGAGAATGGAAAAAAGAAAAATGATCAGTCAGGAGGAATGTAGTTGGTCCATTTTAATTACTGTCTGAAACTTCTTTTACCTACTGTTCATAAATAACTACTATTATGTTATGACCTGATTTAAAAGAATTCTATAAACTATCATCTAGTTTCTCTAAGACGTGTATGTGAGTATAACTTTTAAATAGAAGATTATATAAAAATGAAACCTCTCATTTTTATTTCTGTTCACATTTTGGTTTGAAATAACTTGTGGTTTGTTTGGAATTATGCTTTTAAATGTTTACAAATTAAGGCCAAGTTCTTTATTATTTGGGCTTTAGTTATAGTAACTTTCATATGTCATCACAATTAAGCCTATCAGGATAAGCTGTGAAGAAATCATTTCACAAACAAATTTTCAAAAGCATACAAGATTAATCCATATGCTGCTGAGATGAGGCACAATAAAGAAGCATTACTGAGATAATCTATGGCTAAAATGATGGTGTATGACTTATGATTAAGCTTCATTACCTGCAGAGCAAGGGGCTTCCATCTCATATTTTTCAGTAAAGCTGGTGCTGAGGTAAGCATGCTCTGAGGTCGCTTTTTCAAAGTTAAGATAACACCACTCGGGTCCTCTCGTAGTGCATTCACCAAATTTTTCAACTGCCACCCCACCTGGTAACCAGCAAAATCATTACAATAAAATTGAGGTACAGTATTCAAAGATTTAATGTTTTCCCCCTTTAATAAGATAAGTTAAAAATGAAAATCACATAATTGGTGTACCATCCTACCAATTGTCAGGAGATATATACTTAAGAAAAAAAATTTATCTTTGAATTGATTAACCATTTTATTTCATTAGAGTCCATATCATTACGAGATCAGCTAATGGATATTTACCACATCAGAGACTAAAACGGTATCCTACCAATGGAACAATTTAGAATTTAAAGAAATTATGTCATCATTAATGCTGTGCAAGGTCTAGATCCAAGCTCTGTCCACAAGTACAATTTTAAAATCCACATGCCTGAAAACAAAGGATTTGGCAATGTCCTGAGCTTACAAACTACACATGCTTTCTCATCACCATCTTTTAGAGATATGTAGTACAAGTGTCCATAAATTAGAGTGACATTACACTACCAATAGCTGGTACTGACACACCAAGGCAACACTCTGATGCATGGAAGATAGCATCAATAAAATAAACCTTTTACCATGCTATAAGATAGGATAAAAATGATAAGGTAATACTACTCCAATGCAGCAGCTATTGAAAATGTGTTCCAAACCACTCTATAAACTTAAAATATTATGTGTGGTATTTAATGAAGCCATTCTACCTGAATATTACCTCAAAATATACTGTATAATTAAACTGAAGTTCTTGATAAATGTCCTAAAACCTGGCTCAACTGTTATCCATTAAATTATTTCACTCATCTTTTTAATATTTTGAACATAGAATAATTTTTATTAGTTTGCTTTTAGGATGGACTAATTATGCAGTTATCAGGTAACTGAAATTCTAGAACTATTCTTTGAAGAAATACATTCAAAATACCTATTATTTCAAGGATGAAAAATACATTTAACATTTAAAAGAAAGAAACTTTTAGCACAACTCTAATGTATTAGATTTTATCCAGGATGTGCTATATAAATGCACCAGGCCAAAATTTATCCTAGGTTACAAGGAGGATTTAGCAAATGCTCTTAAGAGTAATCTAGTTTCTCACTAGGCAATCAAGTGAATAGGAATGGGTGTTTTTGTCTGTTATTCATGTTTGTGCCTGAAAGATAATGCTCAAGCTGCAAAGAGTGAGCACTTCACCAAGAGAAGCACAGATCCCCAGAGACTATGATGAAGAAGCACTCTGAACCACAGCCACTGTAGAATAATGGGAAACTTTGGTTTATATAATGAATGAGCATTCCTTTAAACTCTACTATAGCTGAATTGAATGATGGAGAAGAGAGTTAGGACAAAAAAGATGTGAGATGTTATAATGTTTAAACCTCAGGGTTTCTCAGATATGAATCAAAATGATCATTAAGGTACTTGCCTAATATGAATAAGAAGCTGCCAGTTTTTAAAGATAGAAAGTCACATTAATGCAGGTCAACTAAAGTAATGGAATTGGTCAAATGTCTGCCATTATATATAAGTGGGATTATTATATGCCTAAAGGTACATTACATTAATTCTGATTACTTGGATAGCTAAGTAGTGCCCCTGCAGATACTTCTATAAGCCAAGAGTCAAAGTGAAGTGAATTCAAACCAAATTATTCATTTTGCTTGCCAAAAAATAAAAATGTGAAGCAGATTTTGAATTCCAGATATGAAGGGAGAAAATAAACTGTTTAAAACAAAGATTTTGTGAACTTATTAATGATAACATTTTTATCATTTATTGAAATAGTTGCTAACTACATGAAAGCAGTCAATAAGATGACGATATTTTTCTTTCAGCACACCTATTCTTATTTTTAAAATTAATTAATTTATTTTCTAGAGAGATGGGAAACAAGGGAGAAAGAGAGGGAGAGAAACACCAATGCTACAGAGAAACATCAATTGGCTGTCTCTTGCATGTGCCCCAACAAGGGATTGAACCCACAACCTAGGCATGTGCCCTAACCAAGAATGGAACCAGTGACCTCTTGCTTTGCAGGATGATGCCCAACCAACTGAACCACACTGATCAGGGCTCAGCATTCCTATTCTTGATGAATTACACATTGATTTCTATCCACCAATTTCTTTCATTTATTCTATGATATAATCATTGTGACTAGTTACAAAAATGTTAAGGCTAGATGATGTTTTCCTGTGTAATGTTCAGTGCAATTTGTTTACCCTATTTCTTCATACTTTTCTATGCTCTTTTTGACACACAATTCCAAAAAAACCATATTTTTTTTCTATGAGAAAGTGGAATTTTTTGGGGGGTGAAAATTAATAATTTAGTTAGGTTTTAATTTTATAGCTGAATGCTATTCAATGGCAGAAAATTATATAATTTTACTACTTTTAATTAGCCTTCCAACTCTTACTGAGATAGCATTAGCAATATTTAAAACAAAGTGAGCAAATATATATCAAGATACATATATATCTTAGGCTCCCAAATTCTACTTCTACTACTACCATAAGGAAATGATTGCATAAAAGTAGAGATATGCCACATATATGTTGCAATACAATTTAAACCAATCAAGAATTGTAAATTATGTAAATGTCCATTGTTGTGTGGAAAAATTAAGTTCCAAAATAGCAACTTTAATTAAATTCTACTTTTGTAAAAAGTTATATATAGAAAACATAGGGTATTAATATAGGGTTAATGTCCAAAATATGTAAAGAACTCACACAACTCAACACCAAACAATCCAGTTAAAAAATGGGCAAAGAACCTGAACAGAAACATCTCCCAAGAAGACATACAAATGGCCAACAGATATATGAAAAGATGCTCAACTTCACTAGCTAATAAGAAAGTGCAAATCAAAACTACAATATGATACCACCTCATACCTGTTAGAAAGGCCATTATCAACAAGACAAGCAATAACAAGTGCTGGAGAGGTTGTGAAGAAAAAGGAACCCTCATTCACTGCTGGTAGGAATGTAAGTTTATACCACCACTGTGGAAATCAGTATGAAGGCTCTTCAAAAAATTAACAATAGCATTACCATATGACCCAGAAATCCCTCTCCTGGGTATCTACTTGAAAAACTTGGAAACATATATTCCCAAAGATACATGCACCCCTATGTTCATTGCAGCAGTATTCATGGTGGCCAAGATGTGAAGACAACCAGAGTGACCTTTGAGAGAGGATTAGATAAAGAAGATGTAGTACTTACATACAATGGAATACTACTCAATCACAAGAAAAGAAGAAATACTGTCATTTGCAACAACATGGATGGACTTGAAAATATTATGCTAAGTAAAATAAGTCAGTCATAAAAAGCTATGAACCATATGATTTCATTCATAGGTGGGATATAAAACTGAAATTTATGGACACATACAACAGGGTGATGGTTATCAGAGGAGAGGGAGCTGGGGATAAGGGGCAGAGGGGGCCTAATATATGTTGATGGAAGATGGTTTGTCTTTGGGTGGTGGGCACACAGTGCAATATACAGATCTTGTATCATAGAAATCTATACTTGAAGCCCATATGATCTTACTAACCAATGTTACACCGATAAAGTTAATAAAATAAAATAAAAATAATTGTTTTATAAACCTGACTGTATTATTTTAGCTTCAATGAAGGCGATACAAATTCTCAAAAATAAAAAAGAAAACATAGAAAGATATAGAACACCATTAACAGTGGTTACATTAAAGGGGAGTAAAGAATACAATATGTATTTTCTTTTTTAGAATTTTATTCTTGAACATTTGGCAGTAAACATGAATTATTTTTATAAATAACAAAATCAATGATATAAGTGTACTTATTCCTAAGCAGTGATATTCCAATTAGAAAATCCTGAATTTTATGAATTACCTACTTGGGACTGTATGCTACTGATTGAAAATTTCCATAAAATGTCAGAACCAGAAAGATGTTATTTAAAACAGTAAATGGTAGTGATGGGGAAATCATATCTGCTCTGTGCATTCTATTTCTTGATTATTAGTAAAATAAAAAACAAATTTATTATTCAGTTGTGCTCAGTAACTCAAGAGGCATATTAGCTATTGATTATTCATTCAATGAATGATGTCAGTAGATATCTAAGTGTTAAGTCAGGTTCACATAAAAATTATTGAATGAGAATAAAACTGATTGAGTAATTCAGACTTTGTGTAACATTTTTTATTGTTCTTCAGTTACAGTTGTCCCAATTATTCCCCCATTGCCCTCCCCTGCTCTGTCCACCCACCTCCAACTCCCTCAGTCAATCCCAGTACTTGTACAAGCATAAACAGCAACCAGACCTCATGCCTCTTATTCAAATAGTTGTTTTTTCCTTAGACCTTTCTCAAACTTCCTAATTTGGATCATTTCTTCATTAGTTTCTGTCTTCTCTACTACATATAATTCTTAACAATTGTCCCCATTTATTGGATTGTATCATGTTCTATTCAGTGGCAAATATGATATGGTCCCAGAGTTCCAGGAAAAATGATTCCCAGCTCTAGTTCTGTGATATCCTAACATATCTTCAGCCATATAATGAAGTGTAGAGAATTCTTGAAATTAACTTATTTTTCTTTAAATGCTATTGAGATACTTATGGTTGACAGATTATAGCTGGGCTTGAGTAGATGGTATGATAAAGTGAGGGAAATAGGTGTTATAACTTTAAGATACTTGGGACCCTCCATTTAGGAGCTAAATGTAATGGTATACACACATCAAAAATAAGCACAGTATATCAATGCATGTTAATAATTCTTCAAGAATAGCTTTCAATTTTCTCATTATAGTTTCTGGCTATAGTTTTTAAATATTAGGCATGATAGATTTGAACTAGAAACCATGGGAAAGTATTCTGTAATAGTAATATGAAAAATGATTTTAAAGTATTCTTTATATTGGCTACAATGAAAATCTTTCTGTATTAGGAAATAGAGGGAGCTTTGAAAGAAGGAAGAAAGGATTCTAGTGGACATTAATATAGGAGTATAATCCACTAAT